GAAAGCCTACAGACAGAGCTCTTTCTTAATGAGGAATATAATGATGTGTAAGATCACAATGTTTTTTGTTAATATTTAAACATTCTTCAGGCAATTTACTGCATTTAATCACTTATCCAAAGATGAGGAGGGGGTCTTTTTGCTTTTCTATAAAGAATCAAAATGGTGGCTGGAATTGGGGAGTGGACGAAGATACTCAAGCCTGGGGACAGAGGTGCAGGGGGGTGGTCCCTTAGCTGCAACATATGTAAACGCTGGCTGGTTTGGAGTGGTTGTACCTACTCTAGTCACTCAGTTTGGCTCTTAGGTGAGGATTCACAGAACCAATCGCCAGTTAGCTTAATGTAACTAACGAGAGTCAGATTCCCAACCCTCGTTCCCCCCGCCAAATCACCAACCAACTAACCTTTAAAACAAGAGTTAAAACAACCCACAGCTAAAAAAAAAAACAAAAACTGAAAACCAAAAAATTTTTAAAAGGGCCCAGATTCCATCACTAATTTTGCTGTCTAACATTTTGAGGATGGGTCAAATCCATGGATGAATTTTCTCCAGGCTAAATACTTTATCTACCTACATGTATGTACACATATCATTTATTACTTAAGAGTAGCTTATCAAAATATGCAGCCGTTTCAACTTTGACTGACTTCTAGAACAGGCTTGATGAGAGAATGCAGAGAAGGTATGTATGTTTTGCATCTGGCTTAGGCCCTAACGCTGCCTTAGTGCTGGCTGAATCGAGGCCAGGCTGGAAACCCTTGGTTGCAATTAATAAGGTGTTTGACATCTTATCCAGAGTCTAGTAATCACTTAAATGAATAGAAGATTTAGCATGGATCCACTCTAGTACTTCGTTCAGAATCTCACAACTGAGGGAGGACTCATGGAATTAGTACCGCTAACAATACCATTGACACTGACAATAATCGCAGAGGCCTCTCAATACTGTGAAAAACAATTGATCCAAGAAAGCAATGATCTGGGTTATGTCTAGGCATCCCAATGACTGAACAGGTTTAACTGCTTGTACCCAACGAACAGAGTACAAATTGACTACCCTGTTAACTCCAAGTTGGTTAATTTGGTAGAGCCTCCATTTTTTGTTTGTTTCTCTCACCTCATCTTCTGAGGAAAACTCCCAGGACTGTTTACCACACCCCTTTAAGTAATTTGAATGCCAGACTTAATTCTCTTCTTACACAATCCTTTCAAAAATATCTTAGTCTTCCTGGACTATGAAAATTGGTTAAGCCTGACGTTTACCTAAGATCTAATTCCACGGCTGGGCTCATGCCCGGACTGCCAGGCAAGGTCTTCTCTTAGAGTTTGGAGTACTTTGCAAGCTCCCTGGACAGATTAGGATTGAGTAATTCATCTCATTGGTTCTGTTCTTCCATATACACAACACAAGTCAATGTTTGTTATGACTTTCTTGATCCTTATTTATAAGACAATACAAGAGGAAACCATGTGTGTATGTTTGAAATAGAAATGATACATTGCACAGATATGGTTCACCACGTTCTGGGATGGGTTGTCAGTGTTCAAATGGGGAGTCTGAAGAGTAGGAACAGATGCTTTTTTTCCTTAATGGCTCTTTCTCTAATTTAAAATCCTTCCATTTATTTCCCTAAGATTTAGTGATAACTTTAAACACTTTAACTAAATTACCCAGCGGCTTGGCAGCCATCACAGTGGCAAATCTTTTTAGAAATCCTAGCAATCTGTTAGATCACGGGTACTATGATATAAAATCTGCATGCTTCACATACAAAAATTAAATCAGTGCAATGGATACAAATACATAATGCAAATGGCACCATTTCCAAACGGAGGGTACATGACCTGCTTCTAAATATTGAATTTCTATGTTTTCTTTCAGTCATTGACTTTCTAAATTTGGGCCAATTTATTCTCATTATTCCTAAGTAAACCTACTTTGATTTTTTTTTAACAGTTATTTTATAATCAAATAGAGCCAGCCAGCCCTGATTCATAGATCCTGATGTTGCTAGGATACATGGTTTGGTACTTGATGAAAGTCTATCACTTCAAAGGAGAAAACTTTCAAGTGTCCTAGAATCTGACACTCTCGTCTTCCACTGCAGAAGGTGGGCCCAATCCTAGAGCTTCTCAGAAGCTTGCAGACTGCAGGATTGGCCTCCCCTGCTTTGAAATAAGCCTCCTCTCTGGTGGGGCTGTGCAATTGCTAACACTAGTCAGGTTGGTCTTAAAGCAAGGAACACACGTATTTATAATAAAACGCGTTTTCATGTTTGGTTTTACAGTGAAGAGAAAAAACCCAGAACCCCCAGATTTTATGTACTTTGAAAATATATTTAAAAACATTAAAAATTCTATATTTAAAACATATATTATATGTTAATTAGTACACTTAAATAGAACTTGTATTTACAATAGGCTTCTGATGCGGTTAAGTTTTAATGCCAATTTTTTTTTCAATAACATAATTATATAAATATACTAAAATACAATAAATATTTTTTTTGTCTGTTTTACATGGTGAATAATATCTTTACCATAGAGAAAACAAGGCCACAGACGTTTACTTACATTTTCAATGGGAATCACCATAAAAAAGCAACAGGCCTGCCGGCATGCATGAAACACTTCTGCCACAGAGACCACAGCAAGACTTTAAAAAAAAACAAAACAAAACAGAACTGAACAGAACAAAAATGAACAGCAACAGAGAAAGATTTTAACAAAATAAATCTTAGGTCAACATAAGCCACCAAGCGTGTGACTGTGATGTAACCTATGGGGTAAGAGAGAGCCAGTGACCACACAATTGCTCGGGGTCTCCTATTCAACCACGTAACAGATCTGGCCTTTGCAGAACTTTGAGATTGTGACGGGGACTTCCTGTTTTATAATTTTGTCCCTCAGAAGCAAGCTGCAAAAAGTTAACATACAGCAGATATTCATTACATGTCAAAAATAATTACAAAGACAATATTTTCAAACAGCACAAAACAAACCTCTACTAAAATCTTCCCTCTTTTAAGGATAGGTGTTCAGATGGTATCGTAAAGTATAGGCTCGGCTCATTCTAAATGAAAGACTGAACAAATAGAAATTATTTGCTGATAGTATCTTCATTCCCTGGGTCATGGTGGACGTCCTCTTTTGCTGACCCTTCACCCAACCTACTAAGATGCAGCAACTTCCGGAGGCTTTCTGCTATTCAAGGACCCTGGTCTAGGACATTCTCAGATTTGGATAGGGGGCTTAACGGGGGAGTGGGTTTAGCACTATTTCTCCCAGGACCACTCTTCCAGACTCCCAACTTTACTTCTCCAAACCCAAGATGGCAGAGGTGAGGCAGGGACCCTCTCCATGAACAGACAGGATGGTCAGGAGGTTGCTGAGGCCTTCAGTGGGGAGCAACACTTTGTCAGCTCAGTCCTGGCCTCTTCCATTGAACAAGGCACCTTTTCAAGCCTTACGTGTCCTAGATGTGCAGACACCTCGAAGTCTTGTCTCTGGACAAAATTTTCTGTCAGTAGCCTTGAGTCATCCAACCTGAGTTTTGGGGCCTTTTCCTGTCCCTTCCCCTTTACCAAAAGTTCTCAGAAGACAAAACCCTGGTTTCCTCAAGTCTAATTTCAAAGCAGTAAGTGTTCATGTCGCAAGCATCTTCTCTCTCATTTTATCAGTCTCAAGATCACAATGCCATATTTGGTTCTGAACCTGCTCCAGGCTTATCCAGCTTTAGGACAAATTACCCAGGGGTGGAGAGCATAAGTCAGCTTGAGTGGGGTCCTCCAGCGAGAACCTCTTAGCACAGTTAGATAATGTAGGCACTTAAAGCGCGAGGTCCAAGCAACTTGACATAGTCATTCCAGAGCCACCTTTGAAAGGTCCTTCAGAGGCCTCCCTTCTGGAATGTCTCAAGTACCATTCCCCACCCCCACCTAGACCTCAGGGTGGCCACTCAGGAATTTCTCCCGCACTGCCCGGAAATGACATGTCAGCTCCACACAGCCTCCATATGGCTGTTCTTCAGTCTCATTTCACTGGCGTGTGGACTCCTACTCTGAACTAGGCGTTTCTGGGTCCGTACAGAACTCCACCTTTTGCTTGCAAGACAATTTTTAAGCCTTACCATGATTCTGTGAAGCCTTACAATGATTTACCCAACGTTTACCCCTCGTAAAAAAGAATCTTCATTTTTGTGTTTTGTTGTCTTTTTCTCTTCTTAAAAAAAATAAAAGAAAGAAAAAGAAAAAGAAAAGAAAAGAAAGAAATCCCTGCTCTCCATGCTTATATGAGTGCCACAATGACAAAATTTGTTCATTCGTTCACAGCAGTGGTAAATTATTTCAGAGCGCGCAACTGATTTTTCTTCCTTTGAGAGAAAACAAAACAAAGAGGGGACCAAAGGGGGAGGGAGGGAAAGAATGTGCTCTAAGAAAATGTAGGTCTTTCAGACAAAAGGAGCCTCCCCTGACCAAGGCCCAAAGGGCGAGTGGGAGCCTAGGAGGTGCATCATGGGAAGTGGAGTGAGCACTTTGTTCAGTTGCCTTAATTTTTATTCATTTTCCAGTCATCTGATTGATATTGCAAACATCTTTACAACATACAAATAAATCTCTTATCAACCAGAATATATATTGAAGGAATTCTTTCCCCATCCCTACTCCCTATGGGAACTAAAAAAAAAAAAACAAAAAAAAAACAAAACAACAAAACAAACAAAAAAAAACACAAAACAAACAAAAATATACCCCTCCCAGCCCCCATTCCCTAAGCCAGTAAAAGCGATGACAACAGCACCTTGACATTGTTTTAATTCCAACGCTATCAGAAGTTAAAAGCAGTAAAACAGATAATAGTACTAACAAGAACGAAGATACTTACTGTCTAAAATGTAAACGGAATGTTTTGGTTCAAATTTTTGTTTTGTTTTTTTTTTTTGTCTGTTTTCTGAAAGAGGACAGTTTATTATCAATTCACAATTAAAGCAGCATGCAATTTATTATTATTTTTTAAACTTTTTACGTTTTCAATTCTTGGCAACGGCAACAAACCACAACATTATCGAGGAATGTAATGCAGACTTTTTAAAGTTGTGCGCAAAATGACTGTTTCCCTTCTGGTCATGGATAGGTCCAATAAATAGATTGTAGAACCACTGTACTGTATAAACTTCATTTATACATGCAGTTCATAAAATTATTTTTCTTAACTGAATAATTTACCCTGTTATGTATATATACAAATAGATAATTTTTGTCTCAATATAATCTATACAACATAAATCCACTATCTTCCCCTTTTAATGGTCAATGTACATACACAGGAAGTGTCTATCCTTATGAATCGCCAGCCAATTCTCTTTTTGCTATCCATGGTCAGGGCCCGCACATACGACTGGGTAGTTCGGCACTGGGAGTTCCAATGCCTTTTGTCTATGCCCCTGCAGCCCTCCTTTGTGTAACCCATGGGATTGCACTTGGTCTCATAGAAGTACTGCTTCAGTTGGCCTTTCGATACGGGGACTTTTTCAAGGACCGTGACCGTCCCGCCCGACATGTCCACTGCAGTCTTTTTATCCGCCGCTGTTACCCATTCGCTAATGCTGTCACACACGCTCAGCTCCCCACGGCGGGCGGGGTCAGAGTGGCGCCGGACCCTCATAGACATGTTTGCAGCATCCAGGTAATTTTTGTATTCCTCAAGCAGAAAGAGAAGAGGGGGCTCCAAAGGCACTTGACTACTGAGCATCACCCTGGAAGTATACAAGTCCGCGTCCTTATTGTTTTCTTCATTGGGCCGAACTTTCTGGTCCTCATCCAACAGCTCTTCTATCACGTGTTCAAAAGTGTCAGCCAAGGAATTCAGGCCTCTGGAGCCTGCCTTGGGCCCATTCACGCTCTCCAGAGTCCCATGGGTCCGCACACCTGGGTAGGCCAAGCTGCCTTGTCCTCGGACGTTTGCTTCCTTCATGGGGGCAGCCTTCATGCAACCGAAGTATGAAATAACCATAGTAAGGAAAAGGATGGTCATCACTCTTCTCACCTGGTGGAACTGTAGGGAGAAAGCACAAAGAGGACACAGAACTCGTTAGGGCTTTTTCCCGCAGGGATGCAGTGCGGCCATGTGATTGTAATTCCAGGCCATTCTGCAGGGTCAAGGATTTTATGTACTGGTGACAAACTCCAGCTGCAACACAAGTTAATGTCAGGAGTGTACCCTATGTGGTTTAATATAAACCAGAGACCGTGCTGTGTTTGCCCCAAGACTTGGCATTGAAACCCAAGGTTAGATGTTTTCTAATCAAGTGAAAAAAATGGTGGCTTCAAGTTCTCCTCCTTCCTCCCACTTTGGCAGCTTTGTAAGTTTAATTTTTAATGATCTCTGCTCAGGCTGTCACAGAAACACAAAATCAGAAATGTTACTAAGCAACAAATGCAAGTGTAATAGTAATTTTTTTTTTCAAGTTAGCAACATGGTCCTATTGCGGGAACGTGTGACAGGAACAGTAGTGGCCTGAGGGGTCTGTGGGGGGCCTTTCTAGCTGTGTGATATCTAGGCCTGAAGAGCACCATGAAAAAGAAGTCAGGGAGGGGTAAAGAGCCTTTACATTGACTTTTTTTTTTTCTCCTCCCATAGAACAAAAGCAGAAAGATAATCCCATCAAGCCATCCTGCTTTACAGATAAGGAAACCAAAGGCCACTGAAGGAATTGCTTCCTGTCCCGAAGAAAGTTTATGTTAGAACTTGGGGCTCCCAACTTCAGCTCCAGTGTTTCCCTACTACACCTGGGTGGTCATAACTGAAAATGTTTTGCTTATTTCCAAACACAAATCATTTTCTACACGTTGATTTTAATGGCGTGTCTATGCCTGGGGCTGATATCATGAAAACAATGTGTCTACTTAAGAGAGAACTGGAAAAGTCAGCATTAAAAAGGCACCGAAGTCAATTTCAAATGCCTCCCAGATGCGGATCCGCAGTTATCTCCACCAACTCTCCGAGCCCCTCACGCCTTGGCTTTCCTGGCTCACAGGCGGCCCCATCTAAGAAAGCTCAGCTTCTCCTTTTATTGGAGATGTGGTCCGCTGTGTATGTGTATGAGAGAGCTCAGAGTTTATCACACTTTAAAAAGCTGCGTGGCATTTTGCACATTATGGAATAGGCTTCTTTCTGTGCTTTTGAAGTTTTCTGGGAAGTCCCTTAACAGCACACCACAAAATTAATCTTTTCCTGTTTGCCAGAGGGTTGCTATTCTCTAAATTTGGCTCTACGTCTATAAGCAGACTCTGGGAAACCAATTAGAATAGGTGAACAAACAACTTGAAAACATACCTACAGACCGACCCAAGGTTACCATCTGAGGGTGAAGGACTTCAGAATCACTTACCTGAAGCACTGGGTCCCTTAGCAAGAGAGAGAAGCATCCCTCAGCTCTGACACTAACTATTCCTACTTCTCAGTCCTGGAGCAAGGACTTACAAAGAGACACACACGTGCCCTAGTTGTTATGCTGTGCTAACCAGTAGGAAGAAGGACTGTTTTTCTGTCCATGCAGTGTCACTGAACAGGAAGGCAACAACCTACCTCCAGTCAATAGGTCATTCTGCAGAAATGGCTGAAAATGCTGGTACGGAGAAACAAACGTTTCTGTTTTCCGCTTTTATAAGAGATCACGGAGAGACTATTACTGTCCCCAAACACCCACAAATTTCCTTGTGGATTCACTCTCACTTTGTACAACTAGCAAGCATGCTCAGGACTGCCTGGAGTATACAAGGGTCTGAGGGTAGGAAGGGCACACTGGTTTGAATGAACCACAGATATCCATTCTGCTTACACCTGAACCTTTTGTGAATGTTCTGGATTCTGCAGCATCAAAGAAATGTATCCTCCAAGGAGCTTTCTGTACCTGGCTGTACCACTGAATGAAAATCCTTTCTCCTAATGTTCCCAGTTCAAATTAAAACAACCAAAGGGGCACCTCCGATGGAGACTGAGGAAAGAATGCAAATTTAGAATATTTCACTACAGCCATCTATATCATCTGTATATTACTACATCCATCTATATCACTAGAGATTTGCTGTGATGAGTTATCTTTTAATACTACTATTTCATTAAATCTAAGATACCTGCATTATAAAACACACCATTTTATGTGCCACTAAGAAACTAAAAATGCAGCCAATTAAACTACTGCTTTATTACTCGGAACTGTTACTGTATACTTGCTGAAGAGCTCTCTTAGGCTTATTTGGACACATTTTATCATATATAATTTTTCTGCATGCGTAACTAAAGAAAACTAAGCAAAATAAATTGGCTAAGGTGGTGACAACTGTGCTGTGACTCCTTCCTACCTGGCCAACAACAATAAAATGACATCAACTGTAGGACACAACCTATTTCAGAGATGCTCATTTTAGAACTAATCAAATAGAGTAAGTCTCGTAAATATTTACTAAGTGCCCACACAAACTGCTTAAAATGGCCTAAGGCACTCAAGCATCTTCAAATTGAGTTGGGCAACTGTTTTATAACCACTACCACAGTAATAAGTCTTTTAATGATTAGCTTTTCCTATACTTGGCTTAAAGAAGTTTACCCTGCCTTTTACTGGTCTCATGTTTTTATTAATAACTTCTTGGTTACAAAAGTAGTCAGTCCTTTACATACTCTTCTTAGCAGTTCCATAAGTAACTATTTCAGATACAAATGGAATCTGAGTCAATATAACTTGGCTTCCATCCTGATGCCCAAACCCAGGGCATCCCTGAAAGCTGAACATCTGCGGAGTCAGTAATGAACTTCCTGGTGCTGAAGTCCAGCCCCCATCTCCAGCCCTGCCCAGAGGGACACTTCTGGGATGCTCACTGCCTCCTCACTCACAAGGCCTGGGAACGTATCCAACACCAAACTCAGTACTTTTTGTGGGGACAACGTTACTTCCTAACTTTTCTGTTTCTGACAGTGATTTCTTATTCCTTTGGACCATCCAGGGTGAAGGCAAGAAATCTTGGAATCAAGTTTGACCATACCTTTTAGGTATGGTCTTCAAATCCAATCAGTGAAGAAGTCCTGCTCATTTTTCCTTTAGACTTTTTTTTCTTGTCCATCCCCTTTTTCCTCCATCCCACTGCCACCATCTTGGCTCAGCTGTCACCATCTCGTTTTGGGACTGCAGTGTCTCCCAGACGTACTTCACATCCTTTCTGCTCCATTCAACTATGGTGACCACTGCCTGACTAACCACTCTGAGCTCATCATTCTCTTACAAAAACTTGAAATGGCATTTTTTTTGTTGTTGCTGTTCCACTAGATCCCATCTAACCTCTTTTATCTGGTATTCACACCCTTCAAAATCTGGTCTCACCTTACTCACCTCTACTCTGATCAGGCCAGAGTCCCTGGAACCCCAGAAACATTATTGCCTGGAAGTGACTTGTTCCATTCCTGGCAAACCCTTTTCTCTCTCTTCTAAGTCTTGTTTATCCTTCATGGCCCAGTTCAAGCACCAAATCACACATGGCACCTTCTCTAATTACTCCAGCACACACTGTCCTCCTTCTCTTCTAAAATTTGCATGTTACATCTCATTTAGTACTTCATTCCCTACTCACTCGTTAATTGTTGACGGCGTTTGCTAACCATGGCCAGTCTTCAGTTAGATGATAAGCTCTCTGAGGGAATGAATCATGTCTGACCCAAATAATGCTTAACACAGAGTAATAGTTCTCAGTAAAAACTTACTGATGAGTTTTTTAAACCATAAGAAAAGTCAGTTTTGACCTAATCTTCACGGGAAGCCTTCCCATTTGGAAAGCACCAGTGAACTCACTGGAATTATTTGGTCAAGTACAGGCCATGCTAAACCCAAATTATAAGCTTGAAGGGATCTGATAGATGTCATTGATCAGTCATGAGGAATCTCTTCAGCTTCTCTAACAGGGCAAAGCTTCACTTGAATGATTTCTAAAAAGCAAATAACATGACATCATATGAACAGCCCCTGTCATTTATGTAGCTCTGTTTCTAATAGAAGACTTTGGAAAAGCAGCCAGTGATAATAATAATCATAGCAAAACTTGGACTTTTTAGTCTTGTAACTGCCTTTTTTGCTGTTAACCTCCTCAGTGAGTGATTTTACATGCTGTATCAGGAAATCCTAAAAGTAAAAGCTTCCATGACAATTCCTAACATTTTAGCCCTTCAGATGAGTCTTTATTACACCCAAGATGAGAGGCGGTGTAATACTGCTAAGTAGACGGTTTGTCTATGTATCTGTTTATATGAAATAAATTCACTGGTGCTGTCTAATTCTGCTCCAAGGCTTACAACAATCAACTCAACTGCATCTATAAAATACTAGAAAGGATTTCTGTTTTAGCCCCATTCTCAAAAAATTAAATATAGTACACAGGGCTAAAAAGAAAATCGACAAAATAGAAATAAAGTTTAGTTTTAAGCATGACTCACAAGTCTTAAACATTCAACCAGATGAATATCCATGACAGCATGCTGTAGTAATAACTTACATTTGTCTAAAAGACTACAGAACATTCACAAGCATGATCTAATTTGATTGTTACAAGGAGATAAGACAGGTATTATTATCCATATTATACAGATGAGACAATTATGGTTCAGAGAGGTTCACAGGTTACCTCTTCGTCCAGGTTTTCACCATCAGGACATGCTGCTGGGTTTAGAATATTTAACTGCCAGGAGAAGAGAGGCTCTGCTACAGAGGGTGGTCAGAGAAGGAGCTTCTAAAATGTGGCCACAGTTCCCTGCAGGTGTGTGTATCCTGGAGCTCAACTTTCTAAAGGCAGCACCACTGAGATGCTACTTTGTAGTACTGGATTAACTGTGACCTAGAAGACCCTTTGACTTTAATGCCATTCCAGTGGATGGAATTTCAGACAACATGGTCTTCCTCTAAAGGAAAGCTTTGCAAAAATTACGGCATGCTAGAACATTTCCATAGTGAAAGCTAAGAAGGGAAAGCAAACAGTAATATGGGTAACTCAGGCAAACAAGAGAGAAAACAC